TCCCCCCCCCTCAAATGTAGAGAAAATGAAAAACTTTCCCTCCTAACACGCTTTGCATTGAATAAGAGAATCCACCTCTTTGATCAGTTCAATGATAACATCAGAGATTCAGGAGCCAAGTCTTACCAAACCTTTTTACAGTGTTAAAATTTTGAAAAAAGAATTGAAATTATCCCAACTCCTTTTAGGAACCTGTAAGGTTTATCCCAACTCTTTATTTAATTAGCCCATCCCCATAACCGTAACTCCCAACCCGGGTGTAAGGGGGGGGCAGCCCATTCTTCGTGCACTTAGATAATAGATCTGTTTATTAGGCTGCTTTTGTAATAGGGGAATTGAGGCAGAACTAGGGGCCCAATTCCCAATTCAATTTTAAGGAATTTGTAATTAAATCTTAACTAGTTATTTGAAATATTTGAATCATGGTGCATAATAATTCATTAGAAAATCTATCATCATTCAAACACTACCTTAATTATAAATTTGCTCCAATAACATCATACCTAGGCTGTGATTTAAAGAATTAAACTATCTTAATATAAATAATTACCCAGATTAAATCTCACATGAAAAAGAAATCTATCTAATAATTTTGCCTAATTAGAAGGTGATTCAGGAGAGGCACCATATAAACCTTCAAATAGTTGGGGCCACTGTACTAGGATGGGTGGAAATAGTGATTATTTAAATCATTCTTGGAAATGTTAGTAATTGATTTAAACGATTTTACTTATTGGATGGATATATATTAAGATTAGACTTGGTCTGTTCTTGAAACTAGCTAGTGCTTAGAATATTCACCATCCATTGCACAACTTGAGAGGCTATGACTACTACTTTCAGGAATCAATATTTGGTTTTGATTCTCCTAAGTTAGGTTTGAACTCGAGCTTCATATGAATTTTTTAAAATCATTTTGCATAATATATCACAGACACAAAAAAACAAAAAAAAAAACAAAAAATCAACCTTTATGTGGGTCCTCTTTTAATTTTCTTCATTCCTGCATTTCCTTTTTCTTGTAATCAGAGTACACATTTATATATCTCACTCACTAGCTTCTCATCTACCCAAAACCAATAATAATTCGAAGTAGTCTCTGAGTTGATTTGTATATATCATCCTTCGCATGTACTTCAATTAGTTGTCTCTGTTGCACTTTGCTATTACAATTTTATTCTGTGTTGTCCAATATTTTTTACCTTTAACTAAGAGTATTTCCTTTCTGTGGGTGGTACGTAGGAAGAGTCAACCCTGTTCTGAAATCATTCACTGTCATGGTTGAAAAGCAGGTAGATCGATAATTCTCTCAATTTACAAAGCATAATTCCTGGAAACCAACAGAACGCGACAATCCATTCCTGTGGAGGGTTCTAATTTGTCTTTGCAAGGGCTAATTTTCTGGACAATTTCCGGATAAAGAAGGGTTGTTAATGCAAGCTAGTGCTTGAGGGAACACGTACATTATTATTACTTTGTCTGCATTTGACAATTGTAGTCTTGCCTTTGTTTCAATGTTTGATGAAGGGAAAGGCTAACAGATGACAGAAATTGAAATATGAGCGGAGTCGGTAATCTGATTGGATACTTAACTTACCTGAGGAACGCTGGAACACCAACAGGCAACAGCATTAAAGGAACAGAAATGGTGGGTCTAGGTCCCCATTGAAACGCTGAACAGAAACGTTTATAAACCAAATCAATTAATGATGCATGAAACATCTAGCCATTAATTAATAATATAATGATATACATAAAAGACTGAGTTTTATGATACAAACATTCTTAATTAATTACTATATATTTATATATTATGTGTCTGCTCTAATCACGAGAGACCAAAAGTTGGACAGGCATAACATTATCAGTTAAACTAGTTAAAAAATATACAAACAAACACTTATCACTTACTGAGTTGGTTTCATAAACAATTGGCTTATGATTGGAAATGTTTTTAGATTAGTTTAGTAGATAGATTTTGAGGACTTGTATCCAGTGTATTGTCATTTTAAAAGGACACAAGGACCTAAGATTAAAAAAAAAAAATAAAGTGATCAAAAACTGTTGTCACTGTTTCCAGATTACTCAAATGGTTGCGAGAGATTTGAGGGTTTCTTTTTGTTTTGATTTGAGGGGTTTGTTTTGTTTTGTTTGGACCTGCTCTTAACCTTTACAACCCCCAGTAGCGATAGTGCCTGTTTACTGATTCCTTCCTCCATATTTTTATTCTCTCATGATCATGGATAAGACTTAAAGGCGAGCCAGAAAAAGCTTGGGCTGGCTTCACTCCCCATGTCCTCCACCTTCACAGCAGTGACGTCTCTCCAACTTTCTCTTCGTTTCTTTTCTTACGCAGCTCTGTCTTTGACGGATTCGCATCGTATACCCTCCCCCTCCACCTCTTCTCCCTAACCCTACCACCCTAGCTTTTGCCGTCCCAAACCCTAAAACCACTTAGACCTCAAAACCCTACTCACATATTCCATCTTCTCATCCCCTTTTTCATATTATTTTTTTTTTTTTGTTTTAATATTATTTTATTGCCTGTATATTTGCATTTAACGAGTACGGATGGTCAAACGTTCAAGACGGCGAAGCAACGGACGCCGTCAAATACCAAGAGTTGGAACTTGGAAGGCAATGAGCGTCGAGCATATATAACATCAACACCTTCAATCCCAAGCCCAAGCAGAAGTAGAAATTAACGGGAAAAGCAACCGATCAAATTTCTGGAACTGTTGAAAAACCCTGAAAATGTCACGTCAGATTACGTACTGTGACGTGGCAGAAAAGAGAATGTAGCTAATAGGTCGAGCGTTTTCAGGGTTAGCTAACTTGCCACGTGTAATTCCCAACTCGAGCATGGCTCGTCGTAAGCATGAAAGCTCTGAAGGCTGAAGAAACTAAACATGATAGTTTATGCTAGTCTGCTAGTCGAGTCGATCGTTTAGCTGAGAAGACAGAGGAGACGTCCAATTGTTCCCATCACCAAGCAGCCACGTGTTGCTGCACTAATAGATTAACAGTGTGTTGAAGTCTCTACGAAAGGAGAGGCCTCTATCTCCATTACTGTACTGTTATTCTTCTTATTAGTTATTTCTGAATTATTAAATGTTATAGGAAGTAGGAACATATACGGACCACATATACCTGAGTGAGTTGTTCACCTTTGTTTATTCTCATCGTTCATGAAAATTCATATTTCTCAGCAATGCAGGATCTCCGTATCTTAACAGTTCGTAGTAGACTAGTAGCGTCCTATCAATGGTTCAGATCTCTGAGGAGGTAGAGAGATTATTTTCAGATGGCTGTCGAAAAGTTATCGTATTTCCAATGGGGCTCCATTGATTGGATACTCGAACGGGTTTTTAGGTTTAGAAACAGCAAAAGCAACTTGCCTCATCACATTCATTTGTATTGATGAGTGATGATTGTGCAAGGAAGACTGAAGACTGAAGGTTTCTTCTTTCACAGACGACTGCAGGTAGAGTATGCACGTGGTACTACTGCTACTGCTAGTCTCCATTTTTTTTTTTGTTTTAAAGCTTCGAGCAAGACTAGTATCTTCAGAGGATTTTAACTTTTTATTATTGCTCTGACATTAATGGACGATAAAACTAAAATAAATACTGGTAATCATCAATTTCGCGTAGGTTGTAGGGTGCGAATAACTGAATATGTACCAAGTTTTATTTAGGTTATTTATCTATCTAATCTAATATCTAGTATTACTACTGATTCTACTGTTACCTTAAACCTATAAGTAGCTTAAGCTGGCAGCCTATCAAAAAAAAAAGGTTTAAGTTGGCTACGGATGATCAATTGCCTCTACAATCTAACTCGTAAAACTGGGCTAATTTGATAATCCATGCCAACTGCGTATACTTGGGTTTTTAGGTTGACGTGGCATATCGTGATTGGCAGAGCGTCCTCCGGTACCCGTAGAGGATTCGCAATCTGTGAGCAAAGGTGGGAGAGCGAGAGGGCGCACTATGGATGATAGATGAACCCAGAGTAGAGTTACAGAGGCCAGAGCAGTGATAGAGAGGGAGAGACATTCGGACTGTCCCACTACTTGGCCAGCTTTTCTTTAGCTTCTCCCACTTTTCCTACAGTGAATAATTACCGATTAGATGGGATGAGACTAATAATAGGGGTGGTGGAGAGAGAGAGAGCCAAAGGAACGGACGAGAGATGTGAGATCACCGATTGCAACTTTGCTTGCGAAGAAGGAAGGAGAAAAAATACTTTTTATGTAAAACGAGCGACGGAGAGATTGAGCGAGAGAGGGAGAGAGAAAGTGAGAGAGGAACACGACAATCCACGAGCGAATATTAAATGAATGGACGGATTTCCATCAACAGCACCGTGCCCCAAAAATCTTTCAGTCCACCGGTACTATAGACCATCCTCGATTTGATCGTTTATTTCTACATGTCTCTCTTCTCTCTCTGGTCTCTAGTTGGTCTTTAGGTCTTAGCCTGTTATAGCAGTGGATCAGTGGCAGTGCAAGAAACGAGGGAGAAGGGGTTTCATCTCGGGAAGGAAAAGCTTTGCTGCAGACGCCCAGGATAACATGGGGCGCCCTTTCTTCTTATTTCTTGCACCATCTGTAAACGCCGCGTGCTCCCTGCGTCGCTACTAGACACACACGCACACGCTCTCCCTCTCTCTCTCCATCTTTCTCCCCTCTTCTCACAGAACAGAGTCACAGTTCTTACTACTATTCTCTCTCTTCTCTCACTGTTCTCGCTTTTAGAGAGAGAAAGAAGAGAGAGAAACAAAGGGGGAACTGAAGTAGTGCTGTTAATGTACAGGAAATAAAAACACCCGTTTCCAAAGGAAGTCTGAAACCTGAATCTGCTTTACAGACCAGTAAACAAGAAAAAACCCCCCAAAACTGACTGCTACTACTACTTAGGATTTTCTGCAAAAAGGCTGAGTGTGGTAGCA